TACGGAGAAACTGTTATAAGCCAGTATACTCTGGCTTTTTGAGTGTTAAATTTAGTCTGAAATAACGAATGAAAGCTGTGTCACTGGACATTTAAGACATATTTGTTTTGTACAGTGTTTAGTTGACATAAGATGCTATTAAGGATAGGAAATTTAAAGAATAGTGTGTATTATGTAACAAGTAAAAGCTGGATATTTTAGATAAACCCTTTTCTGATGTAACTGTCTAAAATCATTTTAGCAGTTCAATCTTGGCCTTCTGTCAACCCTGTGAACTGTTATGCAACCTCACACACTCACTGGGAATTGTGCAATATGTGCAACTTTAACAATTACCATTTAAAAGTGTAAATTATAAATCAGTATCATCAAAACTTGACTCAATAAACACAGAGAGTATTAAAACTTTTCAGGAATTTTATATAGAAACTTAGAAGAGTTACAGCAAAGCAGCAAAATATAAACCTTAAAATCATCAATAATTGTCTTGATTGGCTTACAATCTAAATAAATCAACAACTACTATTTTTAGACATAAATCTAAAATGATCATAGTGATTAAAATTATCATGGTTGGTACTGAGCTCTTGAGCTGAATAAAAGTCAAAGGTCTCATGTCACCGATCCTCAGCTGGCTCTGGGTAGGCCGGTGGCAGGTTGGGCAATCATTTGTTCCTCTTTTTCCTTTTTGCCATGATTCAAGCTTTCACAAGGAAAAACTTCACGAAGACAAAAATTAAAACTCATCAAGAAAATTTCATTCTCTTCTGGTTCAATTTTGACTGAGAGAATTTTAGGATATTTTCAGATAGACCATGTTCTTCTTCGGGGCAGCATGGTGGTGCGACGGTTAGCGCTATTGCCTCACAGTGAGTCGGTTCCGGGTTTGAGCCCCGGCCGACCCGGGGCCTTTCTGTGCGGAGTTTGCATGTTCTCCCCGTGCTTGCATGGGTTCTCTCCGGGTACTCCGGCTTCCTCCCACTGTCCAAAGACATGCAGCATAGGTTGATTGGCATCTCTAAATTGCCCGTAGGAGTGTTTGTGTGTTTGCGTGTGTGAGTGGTTGTTAGTCTTTGTGTTAGCCCTGCGATGGACTAGCGACCTGTCCAGGGTGTACCCTGCCTCTTGCCCGCAGCCAGCTGAGATTGGCTCCAGCCCTCCGTGACCCCATTTGGGACTAAGTGGTATAGAAAATGGATGGATGGATGTTCTTCTTGGTTAAATCCTCTGTAACTCAGGAAACCATAACTCACATACTCAGCATAATCCAGTACGCTGACAGAAAAGTCCTCCAAGGTGGCTGCAGCTTTAAACACATCCCAGTCTGTGTGGGCAAAACAGTCCTGCAGGGTGCTTTCAGTCTCTGGGGTCCAGAGTTTAATTTGTTTGGTGACAGGGTTTGTTTGTTTCAGTCTATAGATAATTTCATGGCAGTCAATTAGGCTGCTGTCAAGATAACTTCAGTCTGAACTAAAGTGGTGACGATTGAGGATCTTATGTCTAGATGATGCCCAGATTTTTTGCAATTTGAGAAATCTGTTCACTCATTCCTTGGCATGTGCTCCTACTAAATTTTATTAAAACCTCTTGACAGGTTTTTGAGGTACTCAGCAAATAAATGTTATTGAATATGTAACATGTAATTAACATTATGCTCATTTTTGAGTCTGCAGTTTGTGGTGCTGTTGTATTGTGTAATACTGAAAGCTAATTTTAGGTTTTGTCCTGTTTGAAGAGACATATATGGTCCTGTGGGGTGCAGCCCTAACAACTCACACACCTCCTTCTATACTAAATGCGAGAGCCCAAACCAGAGGAATAGTATGTACAGTATCTTTATTTTTAATTTTGCATTTGCAAAAGATAATGTGGTTGACATTCGCTAGGTAATAGTTTGGGACAAGTTGTATGGTAAGTCCAAAAATCCCAATCACAAATTGGCACACTAAATTTCTACACAAGATGTACAGTGTGTTACTCATAAGAAGCTATATTTGATGAAACTAATGTCATCTGCTGTCTGTGAGCTCTGCAAAATATGACTGGGGTCATTTATAGACTTACAAATCAGAAAAAGTTGAAACAGTATGTAAAATCAAAATTAAAACTGAAAATAGTGATGTGTAAATCATCTGTGTCCTGTATTACACTGAAAACAACACAGCAGCACATTATTTGATGTGATATTTCATAAGTTTTATTCTTTGTTCAGAATAAACACACACTTCAATTCTGATGCCTGCAACACATTCCAAAAAATAGTTGAGACAGTAAAGTATTTACCATGGTGTGATGTTGCCATTCCTTTTTCAGCATTAATGGAGCCCTTACAGAAGTGTAAGTGACCTTTGCCAAGGGCACTGACACAACCCCAGACCATGACAGACTCTGGCTTTTGGACTTATTGCTGCTAACAGTCTGGATGGTCCTTTTGTTTTTGGTCCGGAGCACACAGCATCCATTCCTTCCAAAATAGACCTGAAATACTGATTTGTTTGACCACAGTACACAATTCCACTGTGTGATGGTCCATCCCAAATGCCTCTGAGCCCAGAGCAGTTGACTGCACTTCTGGACAGTGTTGACATAGGGCTTCCTTTTGACACAGTACAGTTTTAAGCAGCATTTATGGATGTAACTACTTACTATAGTGCCTGACACAGGTGTCCCAAAGTAATCCTGAGCCTATGTAGTTATATCGCTTATAGAACCGTGACAATTCTCGATGCAGTGCTGTCTGAGGACTTGGGGAGCACGGTCATCCAGTTTAGGATTGGCCCTTGCCCTTTACAAATCAAATCAAAATTTATTTGTATAGCGCCAAATCACAACAAAAGTCATCTCAGGACACTTTACAAAGTAAGGTCTAGACCTTACTATTATCACTATTATTACAGAGGGAAAACCCAACAAAGGAGAGGAGGGAAACAAACAGTCTAGGCATATAGGAATTCTTGTGCAGCTCTCTTGGAGTCAGGCAAAGAGTTAAAAGTCAGAAAAGAATGCCTAGTCTGAAAATAAAGATACATAAGAGTGACAAACACATTCAAGATAAAAATGCAATACAAAAAATAAGATAATAGATGAGATGGTGAACTTCAAATATTGTACATAGTATTACACATAGTGGAGTTGGATATGGTATTTCACTTAGTGCGGTAATAAGGGGTTATTGCACATGTTTCTCACATTTTTGTATTTGCCATCAGTCTTACTGAGGCAGGGAAAAGCTGTTGTAAAGTCTAGTTCTGTGTTTGATGATATTGTCTACCCTGCTGTGCCTGATGCTGTAGGTGCTGTTTTCTGTGTCTGAGCAGGGTGTGTACTGGGTGGAGTAGGTTATTGATTATGTTCTCTGCTCTTTTAAGACAGTGCTGTGTGTATAGTGTGTCCATAGCAGGAAGTTTAGTCCCATTGATCCTCTCTGCAGTCTTTATAACTCTTTGAAGAGCTTTCCTCTCTGCCTGTGTGGTGTTACCATACCAGACTGTGATGCCAGTAGTGAGGATGCTCTCTACCAGTCCTCTGTAAGCCTAGGTGACAAGGTGATGGTTCAGCCCAGCTTTTCTGAGCTGCCTGATGAAGTATAGCCACTGCTGGGCTTTCTTCACTGTGGCAGCTGTGTTCAGTGACCAGCTTGGATCAGATGTCACCAGCAGGCCAAGGAACTTGTATCTGTCAGCCCTCTCCACCTCAGTCCCTTTGATGGTCAAAGGCAGCAGAGTGGAGGGGTTCTTCCTGAAGTCTATTATTATTGTCTTGTTTATATTGAGGATGAGGTCATTCTCCTCTCTGTAAACAAGAATGTCATTCACCAAGCTTCAGTAACCCGACTCATCTCCCCCCTTGATGATGCCCAGGATGATTTAATGATAATGGTGTCATGGTTGGAGACATAGTCATGAGTGTACAGGGTGAAGAGTTTGGGACTGAGATAGCAGCCCTGCGGTGAGCCTGTGCTGATTGTGAGCTCAGCAAACACCCTTCTTCCCATTCTCTCCACCTGTGGTCTTTCAGTCAGGAAGTCCAGAATCCAGTTACAGGTGGGAGTTGGTACACCGAGGTCTGTCATCTTTCCAATCAGCCTGCGAATTTGCGAATGGTGTTGAATGCACAACTGTAATCCAGGAAGAGCATCCTAGCATACGTACTGCTGTTATCTAGGTGTTTCAGGGTATGGAATAAAGCCAGAGCCACCACGTCTTTCACAGATCTGTTGGGGCAGTAGGCAAACTGGAGGGGGTCTACAGCAGCGGTCCCCAACCTTTTTTGTACCAGGGACCGGTTTCATGCATGAAAATTTTTCTGCAGACTGGGTTAGAGGTGCAGGCGTTCCAATAACAAAAACCTTTGTCAGTTCATAGTATGTAATCTGAATGCAACAATTACACTTTATATTAGGCAATTACAATAATTCTACACTATAATATCGACTCGCCATAATGCAGAGTCAGTTGGAGCCCTGGGCTTTTTACCCTGCAACTAGAAAAAAATTCCAAGGGCTTGTCTTTTAA